GGATCAGGAAGTTTATGTTAAGGTGATTTCTGTTTCGGGTCAGAAGTTGAGCCTTTCGATGAGGGATGTTGATCAGCATTCTGGGAAGGATTTGCTTCCGTTGAAGAAGAGCTCAGAGGATGACGCTTATAGGACCAACACGTCGGTGTCTAGAGACGGACCTGTGACTAGGACTGGTCTTTCTGGGATTAGGATTGTGGAAGAGGATGATGTTGGTCCATCACGCCGGCCATTGAAGCGAATGAGCTCACCTGAGAAGTGGGAAGCCAAACAGTTAATTGCCTCAGGTGTTTTGGGTGTGACAGAGTACCCAATGTATGATGATGAAGCAGATGGGATGCTATATCAAGAAGAGGGAGCTGAGGAAGAGCTTGAGATTGAGATCAATGAGGATGAGCCGGCCTTTTTGAATGGGCAGACCAGGTATTCTGTGGATATGTCCCCTGTAAAAATCTTTAAGAATCCAGAAGGGTCTTTGAGTCGTGCAGCTGCACTTCAGTCTGCACTCATTAAGGAGCGTAGAGAAGTGCGAGAGCAGCAGCAAAGAACCATGTTGGATTCCATCCCAAAGGATCTGAATCGTCCCTGGGAAGATCCAATGCCAGAGACTGGTGAGAGGCATCTTGCCCAGGAGCTTAGAGGTGTTGGTTTGTCTGCATATGATATGCCTGAGTGGAAGAAGGATGCTTTTGGGAAAACCATCAGCTTTGGGCAGAGGTCTAAGCTATCAATTCAGGAACAGAGGCAGAGCTTGCCTATATACAAGCTGAAGAAAGAATTGGTTCAGGCGGTGAATGAGAATCAAGTGCTCGTCGTCATTGGTGAGACTGGTTCTGGTAAGACAACCCAGGTAACACAGTATCTTGCAGAAGCGGGTTACACGACAAAGGGAAAGATTGGATGTACACAGCCCCGTAGGGTTGCTGCAATGTCCGTAGCCAAGAGGGTGGCTGAAGAGTTTGGTTGTCGTTTGGGGGAGGAAGTTGGATATGCTATTCGTTTTGAGGATTGCACTGGACCAGATACTGTCATCAAGTACATGACCGATGGTATGCTTCTTAGGGAGATTTTGATTGATGAGAACCTTTCCCAATATTCTGTGGTCATGCTTGATGAAGCTCATGAGAGGACAATCCACACAGATGTTCTTTTTGGATTACTGAAGAAGCTTCTGATTCGGAGACCAGACCTTCGTTTGATTGTCACCTCTGCTACTTTGGATGCAGAGAAGTTTTCAGGTTATTTCTTCGACTGTAACATATTTACTATCCCTGGGAGAACTTTTCCTGTTGAGATACTCTACACCAAGCAGCCAGAAAGTGACTACCTTGATGCATCTCTAATTACTGTCCTACAAATCCACTTAACAGAACCTGAAGGTGATATCCTTCTCTTCTTGACTGGACAAGAAGAGATTGATTTTGCATGCCAGTCTCTTTATGAGAGGATGAAGGGTCTTGGTAAAAATGTTCCTGAGTTAATTATTCTACCAGTATATAGTGCCCTTCCTAGTGAAATGCAGTCAAGGATATTTGATCCTGCCCCGCCAGGGAAGAGGAAAGTGGTTGTGGCTACTAATATTGCTGAAGCATCACTGACTATTGATGGGATATTTTATGTCATCGATCCTGGATTTGCAAAGCAAAATGTTTATAACCCAAAGCAGGGGCTGGATTCGCTTGTCATTACTCCAATTTCACAAGCATCAGCCAAGCAACGAGCTGGGCGTGCTGGACGCACAGGGCCTGGGAAATGTTACCGCCTCTACACTGAGAGTGCATACCGTAATGAGATGTCCCCTACTTCAATTCCAGAAATCCAGAGGATAAATCTTGGGACTACTACACTTACAATGAAAGCCATGGGGATAAATGATCTCCTGTCTTTTGATTTTATGGATCCTCCTTCACCGCAAGCACTCATTTCTGCCATGGAACAACTGTACAGTTTGGGAGCACTGGACGAGGAGGGGCTGCTGACCAAATTGGGTAGGAAGATGGCTGAGTTTCCTCTCGATCCACCGTTATCTAAGATGCTACTCGCTAGTGTAGACCTTGGATGTAGTGATGAGATCTTGACCATCATTGCAATGATTCAGACAGGCAATATCTTTTACAGGCCTAGGGAAAAACAAGCCCAGGCTGATCAGAAGAGAGCTAAGTTTTTCCAGCCAGAGGGAGACCATCTGACTTTACTTGCAGTCTATGAGGCTTGGAAAGCTAAGAATTTCTCAGGTCCGTGGTGTTTTGAGAACTTTGTTCAGTCTCGATCCTTGAGGAGGGCACAGGATGTCAGAAAACAGCTTCTGAGCATCATGGACAAGTAAGTAATTCTCATTCATCTTGCTGTTTGTGTCATGCCTGTTCCTCTAGTTTATCTTTTTGTGTATGTGGTGGTCGCATTGGTTCTTTTATTTTTTTTTTTTTTTTTTTTTATTTCACGTGTATGCAAGGTTCTAAAAAATGTGATGAACATGATCTGGTTTTCAGTCTTTTCCTAATTGCATCTTTAGAATTGCAGTTATTATTACGTGGTGGAAACGCTGAGTGCTGTTCAGGCCTAGTTTATGTCTAACAGTCCAGATCTGATACATGAGAGGGACATTATGAATTGCCACGTGACTTCAACTTTGTTTTTTCAGAGAGTTATCTCACCAGTACCTGTTCACTGCATTTGTTTAGGGAGTAGTGCACTATCTTTTTGACTTCCATTTTGTTTGTAGCTAATTGCCCCAGTAGTTTTTCTTAAGACGTGCTCTCTTTGTTTTCCCATCTTGGAACAGTTGATAGAGGAGGCCCATTGGCCTCCCGCTATTAAGGGATGAGACCCTCATCAATTGTCATAACATCATCATTTAAATTCCAGGATAGTACAATGTAGCATCATCGTAAAAAGCATTACACTTCAAGCATCAGAGTCCTTGTTTGTTTGTACTATAATGTAACGTCTCTACTATCACTTCTTTGTTTTTGTTTATTTTACCATGTAAAGTAGAGGACTGGTCAATGGATTTAAGTTCAGTATTAGGATTTGAAGATGAAATTGCGATCTGACTGCTGATTGTGGATTTCAGGTATAAATTGGACGTGGTCAGTGCAGGAAAGAATTTTACAAAGATCAGGAAGGCAATTACAGCAGGTTTCTTCTTCCATGGTGCTAGAAAGGACCCACAGGAGGGTTATAGAACCCTAGTCGAGAACCAGCCAGTTTATATTCACCCAAGCAGTGCTCTCTTCCAGAGACAACCAGATTGGGTTATCTACCATGAGCTGGTTATGACTACAAAGGAGTACATGCGCGAGGTGACGGTTGTTGACCCCAAATGGCTAGTAGAACTGGCACCAAGGTTCTTCAAAGTATCAGATCCCACAAAGATGAGTAAGCGCAAGCGTCAGGAACGAATTGAACCCTTATATGACAGATACCATGAACCTAACTCTTGGCGTCTTAGTAAGCGTCGTGCTTGATATGTGTTTCATATGCTCCATCATCATGAACTCGGTCGTGGTCTTGTATTGATTTTGCATCAGAGTGTACTCTGTATATATCTTGTAATTCCTCAACGTAATTTTTTTTAACATCGAGGACGAGGACCAGGAATGGTAATTATGGAGAAAATTGCTCTACAAGTTTAGTTTATGTGCCTTGTATCTGAAGTTTGAATGTTGAGGTCTGTTTCTGCTCACACTCATGAATTTTGATGTACCATTTATTTTCTTAATGTTCAACTTGTGTCTTCCCTTTTTGTGTTCGCTTAAAATTACCCAGATTGGATCGAAAAATCTAAAGGGCTGTTGATAACCTTTTTGGTTCTAATTTATGGTTTTCAATGATATGAATGATACCAACCAAACCCTAAATTATTTTAGTTCCTATTTACTACTTTAAAACTTGAAATCATCTAGGGAAGATGTTACATTCTAAGCATTCTTATGTGTAATTAGAGGTATATCCTCGCTTTCTTATCTCTCGTCCCATGGCAATTCGATATGGGATAAGAGAGATACCTGAGCGAGGATTTACCCTTTTGTGTCTTTAGACTTTCTCCTGATTTAAAGGGAGAAAAGTGTCATTTTGTAATGTGGTTGGTTGTATGTTCTACCTATAAGTGGAAGGTCTCCAAATCTTGAAGACGATGAGTTCGAATGAAAGTGGCAAGTTCATTCACCATGGAGAAACACGACGAAGCTGATACAACAAAATCCAAGAGACGTAATATAAAAAATATCATGTGTTGTCCGTCTAGCAGTGGCAATCAACTACCTGAGACAAAAGGACTATTTAAAATAGCAGTGCTATTTAGACGCTCAAAGCAAACACACTTGCTAACATTTTCTCACATACAATGGTAACATACCTACGATAAAGATCGTCATCAAGCGTGTCCATTTTTGTATTTAAATAGCTTTTACTGTATTTGAACGAGAGTGAGAGGGCATGGTTTAATGGAACTAAACCTTTTCATTTTACTAGTTTCTTTTGCATCAAAACAAATGTAGAGAATAGTGTTTTTTTAGAGCTTGGGGGAGAATTGGTGTGGCAAGAAAATCGGTGGAGGTTGAACCCGCTCATGAGTGTTTATGTATATGATTGTTTTCCATCATTGATATAAAACATATGTAGTTTAAACTATTGTGCTTTATTTTGTAATTGGATTTTGCGGTACTCTTTTATTGATTGGGTTTTCCTTCTTTTAGGAAGTTTTTTATGACAAGGCTTTAACCATGGCGCTTTGTAGCTTTTACACTTTTATCTTTGTAAGCATCATTTCATATGTTAAATGAACACATTATTAGTTGGTTGAGGTTCATATCAAATTCCTATGTCTTATAGCTACTCTTTTTCATTTTAATTTTTTTACCAACTTTTTCACCGGTTTCTACATATCTTCTCTGTTTGGACTATTGAAGTATACTCAAATCCTTGATGTATATTACGGAGTGAGGGAATAAATTGATATTGAACTCGTCATTCACGAGACCTCTCACTTACAAGTAAAGTAGAATACCAATAAACTATAGTATTGAGTGGTTCTATTCACAATATTTTGATGCACACTTTCCTTTTAGAAGAAATTAATTACTCCTATTTAGATTGGCCTAATTGGCTATCTGTATCTGATGTACTTCTGTATGATGTTTCACAACTGTGTTACTTTATCCTGATGAACAAAGATGATGCTGATAAGTTGAAGTCATATGCTTCCGTATGTAAACCATATTTTTCTTTGTTACATTGGATGGAATCGCCAATTTGACTGAACCTGAGGGCTTACATCTTATTTATAATTTTCCGAGTCCACATCGTAACTGGTCTTGCTTTGTATCAGAGATGCGTATAGAAGTTGATTCCAAGTATCAGGCACTCCAGCTAAACACCAGTGACTGCAGTCCATGTCCCTGTGACCACCGTGACCGTACACAGATGGATGCCCGTCTTTTCTTAGTTGTGAAAGGGTTGTGACATTTAGCAAATGAACCGGGTTTGATATAGAACGCAGCACTCTTTCTACTACTACCTCTGCTGGATGTGAACCTGCCAGATACTCATTCCCCGCCATTGGTTGTGTTTGCCCTTCACACTGGTTTGAGGTTGCCTCTCCCCATTCACTTCCACTGACAAAACATCACAACTAGAATGAGAAAGGAAAACGAGAGGTTGCAGAAAAAATGTAAACAAAATGAGCTAATAATTGTGTTAAAATAAGGTAACACTAGCTAATTGATCTTAAACCCAAAACCAATGTAACAATGTTTCCTTATCTGATGAAGGCCGCAAGATTTCTTACCTGATGACTGAATTTGTGCATTCAATAAAAATTTGTGTTATCAAGGTTGAGATTCATAATTTAATGACATAACAAGTCAGACCTTATAGTATAATGCGGTTACGTTACAAACAATGTGCTAGGGCATGAAATTAGTCTTACTTATTATGATCTGGGGAAACGCCTTGGAAAAAAACTCTTGTTTTTGTTGATTCCGAATTGGTAGCAACCCATCTAGCCCATGTCATGAGCGCCTTCTCGTAAGCAACTAAGCGATCCATGTCTTTGTATGTACGGCTCCCTTCTTGAATTAGATCCCAACTGCAATACTAGCTTAACGATGTTAATGAACTAAATGTTTACAAGCTAAATTTGCAAATTTAATTATTTAAGCAGTTAGCTAGCATAGGGTATTGGAAAACAGGACTCACGGTTGCTTCCTTCCGGTGTGAAGCCACCAATGCCATGAGTTGAAGATCAGAACATCACTATTCATCCACAGTTTCCCACTTTCGATAGAGTCGAGTTTAAGAACTCGACCAGCAGTTGTGTTTATTGTATCAACAAGAAATGCATTCCGAGAGAACATGACCTTCATATTGTATGCCTGCAGCCAGATGTGGAACAATACGGGTTTAGAACTAGTTGATGACATCAAATTATTTTATCTAGGATCATTAATAATCGATGTGGATTGACACTTACAAAAAATTATATTTGTATCAAATCCATAGATAATAAAAGAATAATAAAATGCAAAAAGAGCATCCAACAAGTCCAAAATTTAAAATGCATTAATCATATATGCCATATAACAATAGTGAGGAGTATTATAGGATGACACATGTACAACAAGTTCACAATTCAAACCAACTATAAATTAATCAAATTTACGACATACAACAACAACAACAACAACAACAACAACAAAGCCTTTTCCCACTAAGTGGGGTCGGCTATATGAATCCTAGAACGCCATTGCGCTCGGTTTTGTGTCATGTCCTCTGTTAGATCCAAGTACTCTAAATCTTTTCTTAGAGTCTCTTCCAAAGTTTTCCTAGGTCTTCATCTACCCCTTCGGCCCTGAACCTCTGTCCCGTAGTCACATCTTCGAACCAGAGCGTCAGTCGGCCTTCTTTGCACATGTCTAAATCACCGGAGCCGATTTTCTCTCATCTTTCCTACAATTTCGGCTACTCCTACTTTACCTCGGATATCCTCATTCCCAATCTTATCCTTTCTCGTGTGCCCACACATCCCACGAAGCATCCTCATCTCCGCTACACCTATTTTGTGTACGTGTTGATGCTTCACCGCCCAACATTCTGTGCCATAAAACATCGCTGGCCTTATTGCCGTCCTATAAAATTTTCTTTTGAGCTTCAGTGGCCTACGACGGTCACACAACACGCCGGATGCACTCTTACACTTCATCCATCCAGCTCGTATTCTATGGTTGAGATCTCCATCTAATTCTCCGTTCTCTTGCAAGATAGATCCTAGGTAGCGAAAACGGTCGCTTTTTGTGATCTTCGCTAGATTGCTCCGGTCATTAGTGTGGATAAGTATATAAATGGATAGAGATAGGAAAGCAAACACAAGATGTACGTGGTTCACCCAGATTGGCTACGTCCACGGAATAGAAGAGTTCTCATTAATTGTGAAGGGTTTACACAAGTACATAGGTTCAAGCTCTCCTTTAGTGAGTACAAGTGAATGATTTAGTACAAATGACATTAGGAAATATTGTGGGAGAATGATCTCGTAATCACGAAACTTCTAAGTATCGGAGTGTGGTGTCGTCTTAACTTGCCTTATCTGTCTCATAGGTAGATGTGGCATCTTCTCTGGAAGTACTCTTCCTCCATCCAGGGGTGGTATCTTTAACTGGTGGAGATGCACAAGGTAATGTATCAATTTCACTTGAAGCTTACTTGTAGTTTCAGGCTTGGTCAAGCGCGATACAAACCATGTAGTAGGAGTCCCCCAAGTCGCCGAGCTAGGGGGTCTGCTGAAAGAGGTGACAGACAAGGTAAGCAATCAGAGCTCCGACTGATTGTTCACCTTCTCCCCATCTTGCAGCAGCATGAAGGATAAAGAGAAGAAAAATGAGAAGAGATGATATGAGATACTTTTGCTTTTGAAGAAGTAACTTTCCACAGGCTTATTCTTGAACTGAGCTGGAGGGTTTTCTGGTTTCCTCCAGAGTATAAGGCCGACTGAAGAATTTGAGGGTCAAAACAAGTCCATCAAATCTAGAGTACGTTCCACCCTGCTGATATGGGATACTTTTGCTTTTGACAGAGTAATGGATGTATCGGCACGTGTGCTGTTACGCTTGTCTCCACATGCTTCCTTGTATCCTTCGCACTTGCCCTATCTGTTCCTCAAGCAGATGCGTAATCTTCCCTGGAAACATAACATGTTGAAGATGAGTACTCGAGAGCAATGTCAGGTAAGTAATCAGGTAAGGGGTTCCAGGCAGTCAGTTCCTGGCTGGAAGCTTGATTCCAAGTGCTGACTGATTGCTCTCTTTCTCCTTGTCTTGCAGGTAAAAACAAGGCCAAAGGAAAAGACAGGGAAAAAGCATGATATGGGATACTCTTGCTTTTAACCCTGATGATATGAGATATTCTTGCTCTAGTATAGCTTGTTTGCAGAGGTATTATCGGGGGGAAAGAAAGCTGAATATTTCGAAAGGCTTCGTTGGGAGTGCCCTCTTAGATATGATGAAGGGTTGAGCATTTTTGCAGGTCTGCCTGTCCGTTGGGGATGGAGGTCGACATATATAGGAGTCTCCCTAACAACAAGTAGTAATGCTATTCCTTTACCCTGCTTGGTCATAGCACGGTAGTGGGAGCTGCCAGTTTCACATATTTTAACTCTGTCAGAGCACTTTGAAAAAGTGGTCTGTGGTATCTGGCTCTCGAGATTCGGAAAACGATGCCTCTTCGATTTTTGAGAAAGCAATCATGCTGGGGGTCTGGCTCTCGAAATTCGGAGAGCAGTGTCTCTTCGATTTTTGAGGAAGTAATCATGTTAGGAGTCTGGCTCTTGAGATTCGGAGGGCGGTGCCTCTTCGATTTTGGAGCAAGCAATCCTATTGGGAGTGTTGTCTCGAATGTGAGTAAAGGTTGGGCATGTTTGCTAGTCTACCTTGCCACGAAGCACAAAGGTTGACACACAGGGACTTTCCAATTATCCAGCAATGGTACTGTTCCTTTACCCTCTCTTTGCTTTTGAGAAAATAGTCATGTTGGGAGTCTGGCTCTCGAGATTCGGAGGACGGTGCCTCTTCGATTTTGGAGCAAGCAATCTTATTGGGAGTGTTTTCTCGAATGTGAGTAAAGGTTGGGCATGTTTTGCTAGTCTACCTTGCCACGAAGCACAGAGGTTGACACACAGGGACTTTCCAATTATCCAGCAGTGGTACTGTTCCTTTACCCTTATGGGTAATAATATGGTAGCTAGACCTTCAAAATTTATGTGTCTAAACTTTGTTAGTGCTGTTTCTTTGCTATTCTTTTACCTTTCTTGGTCAGAGCGATGTAGTGGGAGCTGCAAGCTTCACGTGCTCAACTTTGGCAGAGAACTTTGGCAAAGTTATCTGTGGTACCCATGAGCTATTGTTGCGTGTGACAGGTGCTGACAAGGCTAGAAAAGTAGGTGCCTCTTCGATTTCTGAGATCGGCCCTCGTGGTCTCTGAGCAGCCCAGCTTTTGAGAAAGCGAGCGCCTCTTCGATTGATTCGGAGAACGATGCCTCATCGATTTTTGAGAAAGCAATCATGCTGGGGGTCTGGCTCTTGAAGATTCGGGAAGCAGTGTCTCTTCGATTTTTGAGAAAGTAATCATGTTGGGAGTCTGGCTCTCGAGATTCGGAGGGCGGTGCCTCTTCGATTTTGGAGCAAGCAATCTTGTTGGGAGTGTTTTCTCGAATGTGAGTAAAGGTTGGGCATGTTTGCTAGTCTACCTTGCCACGAAGCACAGAGGTTGACACACAGGGACTTTCCAATTATCCAGCAATGGTACTGTTCCTTTACCCTCTCTTCGATTTTTAAGAAAGTAGTCATGTTGGGAGTCTGGCTCTCGAGATTTGGAGGACGGTGCCTCTTCGATTTTGGAGCAAGCAATCTTATTGGGAGTGTTTTCTCGAATGTGAGTAAAGGTTGGGCATGTTTGCTAGTCTACCTTGCCACGAAGCACAGAGGTTGACACACAGGGACTTTCCAATTATCCAGCAGTGGTACTGTTCCTTTACCCTTGTGTGGGTAATAATATGGTAGCTAGACCTTCAAAATTTATGGGTCTAAAACTTTGTTAGTGTTGTTTCTTTGCTATTCTTTTACCCTTCTTGGTCAGAGCGATGTAGTGGGAGCTGCAAGCTTCACGTGCTCAACTTTGGCAGAGAACTTTGGCAAAGTTATCTGTGGTACCCGTGAGCTATTGTTGCGTGTGGGAAGTGGGTGATTGAACAGTAAGATTCATGTGTTTTCTACTTCCCCAGAAGTCTTCGACAGAATGCCCATAATTTCCGCAAAGCTGAGTGTGCGTGTGACAGGTGCTGACAAGGCTGGAAAAGTAGGTGCCTCTTCGATTTCTGAGATCGGCCCCTCGTGGTCTCTGGGGGAGCCCAGCTTTTGAGAAAGCGAGCGCCTCTTCGATTTCTGAGATCGGCCTTCGTGGTCTTTGAGCAGCCCAACTTTTGAGAAAGCAAACGCCTCTTCGATTTCTGAGATCAACCCTCGTGATCTCTAAGCAGCCCAACTTTTGAGAAAGCAAACGCCTCTTCGATTTCTGAGCAGGCGTCTCTTCGATTTCTGAAGCTCCGTCGAGTGCAGATTTTTATAGGGGCTGGGCATTAAGTTCCAAAGCACACTTGAATCTCCACCAGTAGAAGCTTCATTCTTGCACTTCTAAGATCTTGATTTGTCCGACCTCTTCTCTCTTCAACACCTTTGAAAATGTCTGGCCCCTCTGACCGTCGTTTTGACTTGAACCTTGTTGAAGAGGCAGCCCCGCCTTCTCCAGACAACAATATGGCGCCCATCCTTCGTCTCCCTTACTGGTCCTCTTACCGTTGGGGATTCCGTGATGAAGAATGATATGACCGCTGCGGTGGTGGCCAGGAACCTTCTCACTCCCAAAGATAACAGACTACTTTCCAAACGGTCTGATGAGTTAGCTGTTAAGGATTCGCTGGCTCTCAGTGTTCAGTGTGCAGGTTCTGTGTCTAATATGGTCCAACGCCTATTTGCTCGAACCCGCCAAGTTGAGTCATTGGCGGCTGAAGTGATGAGTCTCAAACAGGATATTAGGGGGCTCAAGCATGAGAATAAACAGTTGCACCGGCTCGCACATGACTATGCTACAAACATGAAGAGGAAGCTTGACCAGATGAAGGAAACTGATGGTCAGGTTTTACTTGATCATCAGAGATTTGTGGGTTTGTTCCAAAGGCATTTATTGCCTTCGTCTTCTGGGGCTGTACCGCATAATGAAGCTCCGAATGATCAACCTCTGATGCCTCCTCTTTCTAGGGTTCTGTCCAGTACTGAGGCTCCAAATGATCCCCCTCCGGTGCCTTCTCTTTCTGGGGCTCTACCGACTGCTGAGACTTCTCCTAAGCAACCTTTGTGAAGGCTCCCTCTTGTGTGTTTATTTTGTAAGCCCATATTGTTGGGCCTCTCAATAAAATAAAACGGCCCTACATTCATTTTTTTTAATCTTTCACCGACTGTTTAAAGGGGCTATAGCTAAAGCAAAAACCAAAAAGTTGCAAATTGCTTAAAAGTTAAAACCCTAACTCACAGCTCTACAACTTGCCGCCTCAACCTTCTCTGCAAACCTTCTACAACCCGTCGCCATCATCCATCCCTGCAATTGCACAAATCTCATCTACCTTTCTCCCCATCTCTGCAAACCTTCTACAACCTGTCGCCATCACACATCCCTGCAATTGCACTACCTCTCTCTCTCTCTCTCTCTCTCTCTCTCTCTCTCTCTCTCTCTCTCTCTCTCTCTCTCTCTCTCACCATATTTGACTTCTCTTCTAGCAAACAGAGAGGCAGACGACGAGACTCAGGGAGACAAGAAGGTTGTGAGTCTCGTGACAAAAGTTTCTTTTCCAGGCCGCCCAGATCGCCCGACATTCGTCGAGCCCGCCTAGCCCACCCAAGCGGCCGCCTTACACCGTTTAATGGCTTTGCCGATTTAGTGAACGATTTCAAGTTAATCGCGACAGAGCACCGCCGCCTAGACCGCGTTTTAGAACACTCATCACATGCAAAGTCTTTTAATTATTTGATGTGTGACAACACTCTACATCCTCGTACGCCTCCTCATACAGGTGACACTCAAGTCAAACACATAGACAACACATATTAAGTCAGAGTAATCATGCACTTGCAAAATTTATTTACCAAATAATATGAGAACTGTCATCATTTATTCAATTTTAGCCTTTTTTTTTTAATTTTATCTATAACCAATAAGACACCGAGAACTATGTCATCATTTACCTAACAAATTTAGTAAACGTAAATAGTATTCTCGTGGCTGGTAGCTAGGGATCAAAGGTGGGTCTCACTATCTGTTTATATCTTGTTATTGTCGACTGTCAAGTTTTGATGCTGCGGCCATATTTTGGGGAAGAGATTTGAAACTATGGAATCCCTAATTATAAATCTATGATTAATATTCCAGCCTTGCGGTTGCTCTTTCCAGTTCACATGCATTAAGCGTACCTAATTTCCAAACTTAATTGCTGGTAGAGTAATGCATGAATTATTACAGATTTTTCTATTATTTTTTATGGTAGGGAGGACCCACTACATGGAGACTAATATAACTTTATGAGACCCAAAAAATAAAGAATTATGCATTAGTGTGAAGGAAAATGATTCCGCATTCCCTTTTTATCATTTTCATGTTTTGTTTATAGCCACCTGATTCAGTAAATCAACGGTGAATTAAAGGACAAAAACCTGTTGATGTGAAGAAAATTATCTCCCCAGCTAGTCCTAGCTAGGGTTAAAATACAGCGCAACAGTAGGACAACTAATATAAGAAATGCATTAACAATTAAAAAGAAGGTAAAATAGAGAGGTAACAATGGTCTCACTGGGAAGGCGAATGTGGATAGTCCTCCCGTCCGGTAGAGTTTATATTGAGTCTGTGGATTGGCTGTATGAAGCATACAGGTGAGTGATTGCCATTGGTTCAAACTCAGCGAGTCCCCAACGAACATGATGCTTTTTCCTCTAAATATTTGCAAGAAATCTTCACCGTTGAACCTAAAAAAGAACAAAAAATTGTAGTGATTATAACTTCTGAAACTAAAAATTGAAGAAAGCATGCAGCAAAGGGTTATGTAGCCATGGATACTAAGAGGCGGAGGGTTTAAACTCTGAATTTACGAGAATCAAGGATGAAGGTCTTAACCATCAGGATAATCTACCACTTGCATGTATATACCTTGTTAAGTTGCAGCGAGTGGGCTGCCATCGGAATTGAGATAGAATTTGTCGGAACGACCATTTTGTAGGCAATCGAATTGCTTCTCTATGAAGGAGCATTGTGATGAAGTATAGAAAGGATATGATTCATCATAAACCCATCTTCCTTGGAAAAGATCACATCCTTCACTAGAGTACTGTCCACTTCCGTGTACATGATGGTGCAGAAGAGAGAGCACCAATAGAAACGTGCCGATGGCAAAATTATCCATGAGAGAGAGAGAGAGAGAGAGAGAGAGAGAGAGAGAGAGGAGGTTGGAGAGTCTCACAATTTATGTGACTAGCTAAGGGGTGAGAATGCATGTAGTATGTATATATACACGTGTGAAATTACATGTTTCTTCTTATTTTTGGCCGGAGATTTTGTGTATGAGAGATGATGTACTCCAAGAAATTTAATAGGGGCATTTAGACTTGAGGACCTAAAGAAGATTATTTTTTTCATTATGGCCGGATGCTTTTATAAATCTAGTTTTAGTCCTTAACTTTAAAACTCATTATCAGTCATATTAAATACCCCTGTCCACTTTTATTATTTTCAAATTTTCTTTCTAAAATTCCTAACTTTTTCATCAATTAGGCCTTAAAAATAGGAATTTTAAGTTCTACAAATCAAATTTAGCAATTTAAAATGAAAGACTTTTTTTTGTTTGTTCAAAAAAAAAAAAAGGAAAACTTTTTAAAATATTTTGCTAATGAGAATTAAACTATATAAAAATTTGGCCAAAATTGTTTTGTGGTCCCCATGGTGACACGTCACTTTCAATGTGACCCTTGTGGTGAAAAAGCTATTAATTAAACTCTCGTGGTGAGTCCTGTTAGCAATTGAGGTCCAAATCCAAAGTTCCGTTAGTCTTCCATTAAATAAAATCATGTGATCACATGTGGATCGGTCAAAATTAAGTTTATTTATTTTGGAAAATAAAAAGACAAAAACATGATTGAATTAAAATAAAATTACAAATAAAAGAAACTTGTAACGATTAAAAAAAAAAAAAAAAACCTAGCAGTTCCTGTATTTCATCTTAGGCTCCCAGCCACTGCCATAGCCACTAGTGGACCTCCTCCACCGTCACTAACCATCACCCCAATTTGATAGCACATGTATCTCAACCTATATAATGCAGAAAAATCACATATACACAAGAATAACTTAAAGAGTTAAAGACAATGGGTGAAATGCAATTTATATGCATCCAGACGGGTGAAAGGCATTGTAAATTAAAGACAATGGCTGAAAGGCATTGCAGAAAATTCAATCTTCAGGTCTGCCCTCTGCATATGAACTTCAAGCAAGGTTCTAAAAGACGCTAGGCGTTAGTTGGGCAGCGGGCCTAGCGCCTTGGCGGACTAGGCGGATTTAAGTAAATCTATTGTATTTCGTGTAAATAAGTGTATGTTTATACTTAAAATATATATAATTTCATCATAAACTAGAAAATAAAATAACATATATATTATGAAGTATTGGAATATAATGAAAACATGTGGAGCAAACATACAATGTGTGTTTATTTAAGTGTTCGATAAGTATCGTACAATTTATTGAAAACAATAAAATGCAAAAGGAAAGTTATCTATTTTCCATCTAAGTGAGTTGCAACCTAGACATGCGCCTAGGAGGGTCTGGGGGGGGCTAGGCGGGTGCCTAGGCGATCTAGGCGGGCACCTCAGCAGGTCTAGGTGCCCTTTCTTAATTTTCAAATATCTAGGCATTAATCGGAGCGGTGGCTAGCCGCCTAGCGCCAAACAGTGATTTCAAGAGTATAAGAAAGTTAAAGAATTAAAATTCAAAAAGATTACGAAAAAAATTGAAAGGTTGTGTACTGGCCGTCTAGGGCCTGCATAAAACCACATTACCAATTAAAGACAAAACTGAAAGGCATTTATGCATTCAAATTGGTACAAATTGATACAAGAATGAAAATTCAAGTAAGACTAAGAGTCTAACTCATGATCAAAGATGTGTTGGCATTGAAAAAAATAACAATAGTATATTAGAGTATTAGGATTTCCAAACGAAATTAAATCATACCTAAGAAATTAGGCACGACTTCACCTTCACCTCTTCTCCTAGCCATTGACGTGGTTTTACAGGTTTAGTTTCAGTCTTCACGTTCAAGCTTTTTTTTTTTTTTTTTTTTCTATAAAATCTAATTTCAGTTAAACCCTAAATTATACTAGATGTGCATTGAATAAGATGTAATTTGGATTGAAATGATGAATTTCACCCTTCATGTAATAGTCACGGGAGTTTATTTAACGGAATACTAACGAAAATTTGGATTTGGACCTCAATTGCTAACAAGGCCGACCACAATGATTTATTTAAAAGTTTTTTCACCACGAGGGTCACATCAAAAGTAACATGTCACCACGGGGATTACGAAAAAAATTTGGCCTAAAAATTTATACAAACAATCACAAAACCAAACAAATAAACTAATATGCAAACACAATAAACAATATACATAATAAAGGTACATGAATATATATATATATATATGTGTGTGTGTGCGCGCGCGCGCGCATATATATTGGTACACATATATACATAGGTTCATATGTATAGGTGTAGAAATGTATATATAGGTACACATATATACATAAGTTCATATATATGGGTACACAAATGTATATATAGATATATATATATATATATCGGTACATAAATATATACTTATGTACATATGCATAGGTACACAAATTATGTATTTCTATACATGCATATAAACATATATGTATTGCTACCACTTAAGCAATTTTTTACCTTTATTGAATACACATTAAGTAAAAAACTTTTATTTATAATACTAAAAATAAAACAAAACAAAAGTTAATAATTATTAGCTAGATTTTAGGTGATATATAAAGTCAAAGGACCAAAATCAGTATTTAATCTTACACCAACTTTAATGAAAAATAAATCTTATTTAGGGATTATAATCTAGCTTCCCAAATTTAATATATATGAAAGCTGAAAAACAACTGAAATACTGTTCGTAAGCATAGTATTCGTCCGATTTTGCCCTCACATATTTAGTCAAATTTCGATTTTATCCCTCAATATTTTTTTCTTCCTTCTCCCTCTCTCTTCCCTCTCGCTCGATCCTTTTTGCTTCTATCATTCTCTCTCTAAAAGATTCTGGCTTCTCTCTCTATAAGTCCTCTCTCTCCTCCTTCGCTGAACCACGACGCTGTTTCTTCTCACCGTTGACGTCACCCACCTCGCCCACCTCAATTCGCTGACTCCGAGGGAGACTTAGATATCCAAAAGAAAAGGATTATCTTGGTTTTGATCTCTTAATTTGGGTTGGGCAGAGGATGCAAATAATTATTTGAGTGAATTAATTTAGCTTGGTCTGTGCATATTTCGTTTGAATTAATTTGGGTATTTTTAAAGGAACGAATGTTTGTTGTTGGTTGTCTTTTGATCATTTTTTCTTTATTTATTTATAATATTCAAACTTCTTGAGATTTGGATTTATGTTTGGTGGTTTTCTGATTCATGTTTGTATTTCGATTGGCATATAGGATACGAACTTATGTTGATGAATAGTTGGATGGGATTAGAGGAGACGATTCGTCAAGGAAATTAGGATTGAATTTGGTTTGCTGGGAATCAATTGGTTCTTAGTGAAATCCTTTTCTTGGTTTCCTTATATTTTTCATTGAAAAGGTTTTTATTATTTTTATGTGTGAGTTCAATTGTTTAGATCTACCCAAATCATACATTGCAAGGCGGCTTCCTTATAGTTTGTGTTAGGCTGACTATTTGCATATCTCCTGAGGTTATCAATAGGACTAACTACCAAATCTTTTGTATGCAAATAGGATGTACGTACACATCAATTTATTATCTTTTCTATGAAAGTAGTACTATATACAAAAAGTTTGTATGGCTTTTAATCCTGCAGCATTGCGCGGGTGTCGTTTGCTAGTGGAATCTAAAGGTTTGGATTTTTATTTGATTGGGTGGATGAAAATGATTGGGAGATAGGTTGCATTAATTGGTACAACTATGGAAACTAAGTTGGCATGTTGATAGTTTTACTTAAGTTGGGATTGTTATTTTTTGCTTGAAAACCTATATTTAATTTGGTATTTAATCTGAATTTGCCTAAATAATAACACCAAATGATTTTTGGACACGCTAAAAATTACTCCTGTACCTGAGCTTGTGTGAGTTTGTGTGAATCAATGGGTCTGGGTCTGGGGAAATATATTGCCGGGTACCCAGTTCTCGAGGCTCATGGTTACGGTTTTGCTCATTGTTACAAGGCCTCCAATCTAATTTGATTCGTCCGTTTGGACGACTCATGGTTCCGTGGGCTTGGAAGTTTGTGCCCGACTTCTATAAAGATGGAGTCGAATACTTGTAGAGAGAGAAAAGACTTTTGAGTTGGTAAATCTGTTTAACTGTGAGAAACTTGACTTAGTTTAGGAACTTGTCCATCCACGGGGCACCTTTCGTAGTGAGGGAACTCCTCTGTTTTTAGCTTGACGAGCGACTTACTTTAGTTTCCGAAAAACGCATAAACTCCCTTGGGATTTTCGTAAAAGAGGGACTGGAGTGACTCGCCCTAATCAAAAAGTGGGAGAGGGGCGAAGAAACTCGACCGGTTACTAGAGACGAGCAAGGGCCAGGGACGCACTCGACGAGCAGACGAGGGACGGGTGGTAGGCTTGCCATTAGTTGTCTTATTTTCCGAATTAAAAAGATTAAGCAACTGATATGATGATGGTATAGATAGATCGATGAGTATTATTCATAATTATTTGACTGCATTTTTTGGTTTTTATAACAATATTTAAATGCATTTAGCATTGTTATTGTTCATGTGTATGCATTATTTTAGTATTTAGTTGGATGATTATTTCTTAAATTTTCTATGTGATTAAATATAGCTTTACTTTTTCAATATCTGATGAATTGCCCTAGTAGTTTGTGCTTTTCTTTTGACTCATTGTTTCTCAAGTTCAAACTTTGACCCCTCCCTTTACTGTAGTTTAGGTTAAAAGTAGGGAGCTTTAACGAAAAATTCTTGATACTATTTACTTTAACGAAAAATCACATTTTTACATTAAAAAATCAATTCTAGTACTATTTATTTTACCTTTTATTTTATCTCTGTCGTTAAAACTCAAAATTTTCAAGTAATGCCCACCCTTTTGAATGCCTAATTTGGAGTAAGAGCTGCATGAAGAAGCACATTCCAAGTATCAGGAACTCCAGCTAAACACCAGTGGCTGCAGTCCATGCCCTTGTGCCCGCCGAGGCCATAGACCGACGGGTGCGCATCCTTTCGCAGTTGCGAAAGAGCTGTAATATTCAGCAAATGGACCGGCTTTGACGCGGTACTTAACGCTTTCTCTAGTACTTGCTCTGCTGGATGTGGTTTTCCTGGAATGTCTGGACCTGGCAGTGGTTCTGTTTGTGCATTGCAGTTAATTGCTTGAGGATCGCCCCACTCTGTTGCACTGATGCAAACAAAAATTTGAGTTTGATTAGAAACTATCAGAAACTAGAATCAATATTTCTAATTCTACGAAATGCGTTGTGATTCGGGTTATGGGGTGGGTCGTGCTTGCGCCCGTGTTCGGACAAGTACTTGCACAGATGGTTGAGACTACTTACTTGCTATGATCTGGAGAAACGCCTTGGAAGAAGACCTTGGTTTTGTTGGGGTCTACTTTGGAGTCAACCCATCCAGCCCAAGTGGTCAACGCCTTCTCATATGCAACCAAGCGATCCATGTCCTTGTAAGTTTGATTCCCCACTTGAATCAAATCCCATCTGCAACACATTTGAAAGCAAACATTCAATTACTTGCACAACACGCAAATTCAAAAGATAGAGGCAACTAAAAGCTCAAAGATTGGGTGGAATTCTAATCAATAGGCGTCTTACGGTTGCTTTCTTCCAACGTGAAGCCACCAGTGCCACGAGTCGAAGATCAATACGTCGTTTTGCAGCCACAGCTGCTCGTTTTCGGGTGAGATTGAGTCGAGTTTGAGGACAAGGCCATCAGGTGTGCCTACAATGTCGACAATGAAGGCATTGCGGGAGAAGGACACCTTCAGATTGTATTCCTGCAAGTTGTTCAATTGCCATTCATCATGTAAGTAATCCAACCAAATCTGTCATGTAAAACTAATAAAATGGCAACTTCATTCGAAATAACAAAATAGTTTGGAACACAAAGCTTGTATATCTAAAGCGTTCTTTCAATCATTGGCATAGGACAAAAGTGCAGCAAACAAGTCCATTTGGGAACTGAACCAAACAATACATCATCTACTTGTTTATATCAGTGCGACATTATGACAGTATTTCAAACCAATAATATATTATTATATGAAAAAAAATTTAAAACACGTAATGCGTTATTGTTTGAAATACTACTACCTTAACGTACCTAGTTCAAGTCCTCCATTATAGGACTAATAATAAGAAACATAAATATATTATATATATACACACACACAGGCCCTTTATGCATAGGGATCCTCATTTTTTTCAAAATATCAAGATTAGGTGTGGGGCCCATTTCGCATCAAACTTCAACGATCTGAACCGTCTATTTTTTAAGTCTTGATTCATAGATTATCCTTGCAAAAATTTAATTCAATATGAAATTATTTGCCTATTTAATGATCAAGATAAAATTTCATTGTTTCTTATATAACAAAGTATTTGTTAATTTCTTTGAACTTAAATAGATGTCTTAAACATTTCTAATTTGGCTAATATTTTACAAGGATGATCTATGAGGTGTAACTTGAAAAATAAACGGTTTAGATCGTTAAAAATTGATGTGGTGTGAATCCCACAACTAATCCTTATTTTTATAATAATATAGGGATCCCTTCCCTTAAAAGTTCTCTCTCTCTCTCTCTCTCTCTCTCTCTCTCTCTCTCTCTCTCTCTCTCTCTCTCTCTCTCTCTCTCTCTCTCTCTCTCTCTCTCTCTCTCTCTCTCTCTCTCTCTCTCTCTCTCTCTCTCTCTCTCTCTCTCTCTCTCTATTTATATATATCATCTTTTGTGCATCTAATCTATTTGTATAAGTTGGGAAGCTCACCAGGAACGTGAATGTAGAGAGCCCTCCTTTCGTGACCAATGTGTATTTGGTTCCTGGAACAACCGTATAAAGCATACAAGTAAGTGACTGCCATTGGTTCAAACTCAACGAGTCCCCGACAAACAATATGTTTCTCCCTCTATGCGTCGACAAGAAAGTACTTCCATCGAATCTGCATCATCAAAATTTAAACACACGGGTCAATATCAAAGTTACATAACGTGTTAAGTAGATAGTAGTGTTACAAAGATAAGTAAATTGCGTGGTTTGTGCAAATGTTCTCTCATCATAAATCTAGATTGTGCCATTTGTCCAATTTGGAAATTTGGAATCTCTTATCAAGAATATGGCCAAAGAAGTCCCATCTCAAAATGTGTTATTTTCGTGTTCAAATTAAGAAAAATGTTTGATCAACTGCTGTTTGATATTGTTGTTGCAAAGTATATTTCTCATTTATATGAGACATAGAGTTTCACTTACCATCTCCATATATGCAACTTAGCGTTGAAAAAACGGCAAATAGAGAGGTTCTTTACAATTTATACGAAAGTAAGAAAGGAAACAAAGTGCATGTCCTTTAGAATGTGAAATGCTACCAACCAATCTCAAATACGTGTTGTAATGTTGCAAAAATCAACCCTAAATACCCTACAACGAGAAATTTTCATTATAACCGGAACACGAGTGATACATCACATGTTTTTATATAAGTGGTGAGAACTTTTATTTTTTAAGTTATTAACTTTTTAACATACATATATCACACTATTTGTATAATGACACATGATGTACCATCCTGTGTTCCGGTTAACCATAAAGTTAAAAATTACTAAAAAAAAATAATTAGATACTTCGACATGTAAAGAAGGGTTGAAGAACTTTCATTTATATTGTTGTTTTAATGAGAAAATTTTTTAGTGTGATTTCCCCTTCTCCCATCCTATGTGACGCCTTGCGCTTTCTTCTCTCCCACTCCTCTGCCTCCTCTATCAAATTTGTAATCAACATTTAAGTAATAATCTAATGGATAATGTTAGGGAGACTAAATTTGTAGACAACATTTTGTAAACTAAATAATATAGAAGTTGATGATTAGATTATTACTTAAGCGTTAATAAACTTGCTCATTTTCATTGGTAACACATCATTTTGTCTACAATATTCCTAACATTACCCTAATCGAATTATCAACAACCGCATCATATAGTTTATAAAATTTAATTTAAAATTTTAGTTTTCCTAACATTATCCTTCTCGGACTCGGAGGATGAAGTGTTATTTGAATGTGTGATCCAAATAACTCTCACAATACTACATGTAGGATGTCCGGTTAGATTATTTGCGTATGTATATGCATGTATGATATGGGCAATCGTAACGTACCTTGGTAAGCCGCAGGCAAAGGGTTGCCATCTATACTTGAGGTAGTTTTTGTCCGGGCGGCCATTCCCTACGCAATCAAATACCGTCTCAATGAAAGGGCAGGTCGGCGCGGCATAAAGAGGATATGAATCATCAAAAACCCAGTTTCCGTGAGAAAGATCGCAGCCTTTGATAACGCTCCCTACAAGTCCTCCATGCACTTGGTGATGCAGAAGAGAAAATACAAGCAGTGATACTGCAGCTCCAATTGCAAAAGAAGCCATGAAAACACAGAGGGATATTAGAAGGCTGGTCGTCCAACTCACAAGACATATATATGCATATATCATAGAATTATGAAATAATAATAATAGAGTATTGAGAGACCCACCCCATTGTCTTATTTCCCCACTCACGTTATAATCTCACTCACTATAAAAGTTTAAAATTTTGAAATCCTATTTTTCCATCCACCATAATTCCTAAAATAACCTTCACCACAATTCCATTGTTCCGTTTTCACAACAAAATACATGATTGGATGGAACTTAACCTAATAAAACAAAATTTTTGTACAAATTTTCTATATCCAAATTTCAAAAAATCCGAATGCACTACAATGAGATGCCTTGAAAATTGGATGGGACCTAATCTATTAAAACAAACCCAAAATTTGTAATCACCATGATCGTACTCCAATATTAGACGATATCATTTGCATAGAATAATATGCAGAGTAATCAAACCCTAACCAGGTAAATTCAAGCTTGGCCACCACAGTCGGGATTTCAAATTCAAAGAATAAAGAAATTTCAATTCAGAGAGTGCAAAATTTCAATTCCTCTACATTTCAGTTCCTTTGCAGAAGATAGCAAGAATTTTTTAGGGCAGGTGCAAATGAACTTCAAAGAAAAATTCCAGATTCAAAGAGAGTGAGATGGGATGAACGCAAGATTCAAAGAGAGAGAGATTCACGGCGTTGGTCAAATGCCATAAAAAACAATTCTATGACGCCTAAAAAGTGTCATCATGTGCATGGCGTTTATTAGGGATAAAGAGAGAGAGCTTATGTACTAAAATGGTAAACAAGGGACAAGAGAGAGATGGTGGCGGTTGGGAGAGATGGTGGCGGTTGGTGGAGAAGCCATTGCAGTCGATGTAGAAGGCGAGAAGAGATAAACCAAAGAGAGAAGCAAGAGGGAGAGAAACAGAATAGGGGTTGAAAAGTCTTTTTCTAGAAAATTAAACATGTTATTATTATTATTTTATTAAAAAGTGGGTGAGAAAATAGGATAATGGGATGTGGTTAGTAGCACTATAATATTATTGCAAATATGGAAAAATTAAGGTAATGTGGAGATAATGGAAACTGGGATTTGGTTTTCCCTGATAAACTATATATGGAGTATCAAAAAAATGTGGGTCATCTATTTATTCTTTCTATAATATTTTCTAGTTTTTTGTAATTTTTTTTTTCTTCTGAAAATGTACGATATTCATTTATAATGTACAAAATAAGTATAAAAAGAGGATAGAGTGCGAATGTACATGAGCCTCGATAAAATTTTGTTGGGAATTTTCTTTCATTTAAATTGTACTTGTTATTGATCTTTGTTGGTGTCTTAAGATAATTGAGTTCTCGACTACAGAGGATTCAGAATTCTATCCATGCAAACATGCGACCTGTAGAAGTAATGGCCAATGCTCTTCCGATGGTGTTGGGGAGGATGTTTGTTTTGCAGCGGAGAGCTTTTGTGGATGTTATTCGTTGCCTTTTTTGTTCACACCAAGTTGATGTGAACTCTATTTCTCGTTAGGCAAACGAGGTGACACATTGGATGGCTCGCTATAGTCTAAATCATCTAGGTGTAACTTTTTGGGATGATGTCAGTTTCCTGTGGTTAATAAGTTGTTTACCTGATGATTATTCCTAACGTGATCTGTTTTGTTTCTTGCACAGGTGACTCTTTTTCTTCCATCAGAGATTTTCCCATGTGGTTTACCCGAGACGAGGTTCTTTCAGAGCCACGTTCTTCTTTTCCGTTCTCTCTCTATCTGTTCCTTTTGTCTCTTATGAATGAAATCCCTTAATACCTTAAAAAAAAATTGCCGTAACTTTTTGTTTTGTTACGATATGACCCTCCACTCTACCAAAATTTGAAATTGAAAAAAAAATATATTCTAACAGCATTTAGGAGAAAAATAAACAAAATATTCTCCAATATTCGAAGGAATGCTTGTTATATTTGGAGGACTGAAATTATTTAAATAGATCACTACTGAGCATAAAGAGAAGATAAATCAATATATTGAACGGTTTAAATCATGAAACTGTAATACTAATTTAACTTTTGTATAACCAAACAAATAAAATTAAATCTAACTTATTAATTCTCATGCAAGCAAACATCCAGAAGCGAAAAAAAAATTTGGAAACAAAATAAAAGAAGTCACAAAAAGAAAAAACAAGGGACAACCCAATTCAACTCAACAACAAACAGAAACTGATCAATTTAACAATTGAAATTTAATAAATAATAATTTGACTAATTTCCTCAAAAGTAATGCGCAAAGACTTACTCATTCTCATTGCACTAGACATACAGTTTCTAGGAGACAATCAAACCTCGAGACGCTCTTGCTAGTACTTGAATCACTCGATCGGACCAATTCACCTTCGTCTTCTCAACAACAATATGATGTTGAGGAACAAAGCATACAGAGAGATCACGAATACAGGACAAATCTCTTGATTACCTCAATGAAAGGCTCAAAGAAGTAGTTTGCTTTTATATTAGCCTATAAATGGGAAAAATTATTATCCTATTAAGAAAGTAAATCGGTCGGATTATTCCTTTCTTTTTTATTATGGATGATGAATTAATCCTGCATCACAATTCGGGTAATTAAAACAAAATTTTGTAGAAAATGAAAAAACGCATGAGTTTTAATTCGGGTAATTAATTACAAAAATAAAGCACAAGAAAGAGAAACGCCTTCGGAGCCCAAAAACTGGTACGTTACATGCCATTCATCAACAATCCTATTAAGAAAGTATAATCTATGTGAATAAGGATTTTTTTTTTTAAACAAGCGATATTAATCTACATTAAGGGGATATGGGAGTGAGCTAAGTTTCACAATGGACTAACAATAATGTGGTTCAAATTCGCTTTTACAAGAGTCAAACTTAAGACCTCTCACTTACAAGTAAAAAAAATACCACTAGGTTGTACTAAGTGGCTTGTCAATAAAGAATTGGATTAACAATCCTACGTACTCACATAAGGAATTGGCCTTCGATGTTTTTCTAGTTGGCTTAAATATCAAAATAGTTCCTCTATTATAGCTATTTGGCTAATTTTGCCCCTGTAAAATTACAAATTAAAAGAAAAGTGACTCTCCTCCCAACTTTACCTAACATTCTCTCATCTCCCAATTCCCCCCACCCCCTCTTTTCTATGTCACAACCTTAATAATTTTTTAAAATTGCAAGTTTTATCTCTTATATGTGTTATTTTTTATTGATTTGTATTTTTCTGTAAATTTAAATTTTAAAAAATAGAAGGAGAAAGAGTAATATATGGCTCTCAATTATACGGTCTGTTGCACAATTACACAATTGGAGACGAGGTGATTGGAGTTAATTTTCTTGGGACTACGATAATAGGTAGGGTCGAGATGGATCTTGAGACGCGTTCTTCGAGTTGCAGGCGTGTGTGGCTAGGATTGGGGTGTGGGTCAAGGACAAGGCAGATGACAGAGTGGGTTTGTTTAAATCTTTTTTCATTTTGAAATTATATTTCTTCCTATTTTAATTGAAAAACAATTTACTATAATAGGGTGTGTGGTAGTATTTTTATGATTTTTGTTAACAGAGGTTAGATGAAATGTTCCTAATTGGCTAACAGAGATAACCACGAGGACTAAGTTTATATTCATTTTTAAATATTTTAAATTAAATAGATAACTTTATAAATAAGTTTATATTAATTTATTATTTTTTTAACAAAGATTGGATGAAACGTCCTTAATTGACTAACAGAGATTAAAAAAAAAAAGAGGACCAAATTGGCCAAATAAAAAACACATGGACTAAATTGGTTAAATTACTATAAAACAAGGACCACTTTGACATTTAAGCCTTTCTGTTTTGTAAGTTTTTTGTTTAGAGAGAAACCTTTTCCAACATAATATTGGATAACTATAATCTGAGCTACTTGTAAGTGAGAAGTTTTAGATTCAAATCTTACAAGTGCTAAGTTTGCAATCAATTTATTCACCACCCCTTATTGTAAATACATCTTTATGGATAATGCTGGAGAGACAAACTATTTAAACCAAATTTCGTAAACCATATTGACATAGTTGTTATGATTAGATTATTACTTAACTGTTGATTAACATGCTTATTATATATGAATGATACATTACATAGTTTACAAATTTAGTCTAAAAAATTGGTCTACCTAGCATTATTCTATCATATATTAGGTCAATTGCTGAGTGAAATCAACAACTTACATTAGTTTAGATACAGTTATATTCGCATTTCACTAAGTCATTTGGATCTAATTCAATCCGTCTCACCCGTAAATAAGCAAACTAAGATTGATCACGTGTCGAAATAAAGAAGACACTCAATCCCAGTCGATGAGAAAGAAAAAATATATGTGCTAAAATAAATGCAACGAGGAAGTGCGTAGCAACCAACACATATATGATTCTAAGTCTGCCTGTAATTGGAAGGAATCTTGTGAATCGTGATACTATTAACAAGTGCTTTGTGATTTGCAGGTTTGATTAGACAAGATACAAATTTTAGTAAAAAATATGAAAATAAATAGAAAAAATTGTGGCGTAGGTGGTGAAGTAATGTAAAGAGCAAAGACTAAAGACCGTTTCTCCTCCACTTGTCTGTTACAAGTTTGAAAGTTGAAAGGTTGACGGTTGAATAAAAGGCTATCGCTCTGGACCTCTGGTGCCTCCCGTCAACGCCAGTTTGCTTTCTGGACATAATAACACCAAAGTCCTGTGCTGCCTATGTGCCTCATAATTTCTCCTACAAATTATAACAAATAATATAAAAAACAAATATTTTCTCCAATATTTTGTATCTTTTTATCCGTGTATGACCGTTCCACTCTCCAACTTCCAACTCTGTGTTCTCAAAATTTTTAGTGTCTAGAAACACGTACACATCTGCATATGTCATTATATAGGTACAAAGATATTTGAATAATATTTTCATAAGGATTCGACGTGATCATGGAGTGCCGGCTGTCGACTACCTGACGCCCTCCCCCTCCTCCTTTATCCGGGCTTGGG